GCGTGGGTTGCTACGTTGTAGCAACCCGAGGACACTAGTGCCACGCTCATCCGACTTGAGTTGGAGTTGCGGATTTCGCGGACGGTGTTGTCACTCTGGACCCACAATCTCAGATCGGCAAAACAGCAGTCACTTCAAAGTAATGAGTATTCTTCAACACTGTTGAATTAGACATGTTTTGCAAACAAGAAACTCCCGAGCAAATGGCAAATTCCTTGCCCTGCATCGAGTCCAAACCTTTTGGAGGCTTCGCATCACCTAGGCTGGTGCAAGTGAATCAAAAAATGTTACAGTCAATGATGATGAACTGATGTTTGACACTTGACATACCAAAGTCGAGCCTGGCCACACACTCCCAATTCCAGTTGGAATTATCTGGCATTCCCTCATCGCATAAATACAAGTAACAGCCTTGTCCGTGAACAATTGCGCATGTTAGTGTAATGGACACTCCTTAGGCCCAAAACAAATATCAATGGACCCAACACCCAGCAAGGAGAAAGAAGCAGCTTTGGCTTTAATGTCTAAGGTTCTTTTGTACTGTTCGTAGATGCTGCTCTTTGGAGGCCTGCCAAACCGCCATTTTGGAATCAAGATCTTGCTCTTGTCATAAGAATCTATGATGATGCAGTGAAGGTCACCATAAGTCTGACTCCGGGTTCTGGCAGTCCAGTACACCTCCCTTGATTTCCACTGGCTAATGTAGTGGCTCAAAAGAGTATCAAAATGCTGCCAGTGTTCACTGAAGTCCTTAGATCGTTTTCCACTGTAAGCTCTTTCAAGAGTGCTGTCAACAAAAGTGATTTGTGGGGAAACTCAACAGCATTGAATGAACCTCTGACTTTGACTAGCATCTTTTGACTCATGGATTGCAACCTTTAGCCTGGAACATACCAGACACAACGTGTGGTCAGAAGGGCGGCGGAATTTAAGGCACCCTTCCCATTCCTTCGCAACTGCATAGAATGTTGCCCGGCTGGCAGGCTTGTCTGCAGAGGCACCATTGACACGCATGAAGGATATATATTGAAGATATAGTGATGCTCGGTTGCCAGGTGGCAGTTCCCTTAGAGGCAGTTCCTTTGGTCGCATATCACCAATCTCCATGGTAGGTCCATGCATCCGTTCATCAACCAATCGCATCAGTAGCTCCTCATGGAGTCGCTCGTCTGACTCCGATGCAAGGCTGGTAGATCTGGATGTGTACCTTCCATAAAGAGAAAACCCACATTGTTGACAAAATTAGGAACGTAGTAGCTCGGGCCCACACCTTGTTGTCAATGATTCAGCTGCTGTCCAATAAATGTGACTGAAGAAGCACATAACTGAAGCCTTTTGAGTCGATGGTCGAGGATTCGGACCTGACAAATATAGAAACGTTGCAAACTTTAGCCTACGTTTGACAGTAAAGGTCACATCTCAGACAAGCGGCAAATACCCCTGTCATCAATCCCTCGAAATCTCTTTCGTGTACGCTGAATTCGTTCTTTGCCAATCGCCATGTACTTCAACCAGCTGGATCGGCATACATTGTATCCTGACCGTGATTTGCTGCTCCTGGTTTGAATTCCCTATTTTTTTTGCGTGTGTCTTTTCTGAAGTCAGTCCTTGAATCGACCAGGTGTTCTTGCGTCTTCCAGTACTAGATTGGATGGTCCAGAGAAAAGCATCTTGCGATTCTTTGGGTAGTGACCAAAACGTCTGACAGATGTCCTTCAGCACTTTGAACGGAACCCGACACCCGCATTCGCATGGTGGCTGTTTAGAAAGCTCCTTCAAGCGCTTCAGGTTCATTCCATGTTCTGCAAAAGAAGATGTATCCCCTTGGCAATCTAACTGATGCAAGGATTGCAAGTGATTCAAAGTCATGGAAATCTCCCCAACCCCAGTATTTCCAGTTGAATCATCGGAGCCATCGTCGGAGCTATAGTCATCATTTGACATGGCGTCCCTGGGCGTTGCGCAGAATGATGTATGTATACAATATATCCATACACATAATAGCACACAAACAGACAAACAGATGTCACTGTTTGCAACCCAAGTACCCTGAGTCATCCTGTTCTTCACAACTTTGACCTGTGTCAGAGCTCTCTTCAAAGCGCCAAACACCGGGTCGCACATGCACAGGTTGCAGAGCATCGCTGTCGCAGTCCCATCTCGAGAGGACAGGCATCGGACTGCAGCTATCGGGCCTTTTTTTGTGTATTCCATGGATGAAGAAGTTGTTGGGGCCCAACATGTTAAATGAATTCACACATGTTTTGCAACCTGTCAGCCATAATGGCTGTCAGAATTAGGAGATCTATTGAGTGTGCATTGCATGGCATTCAAAAGAAGCAATCAAAGATGCCCACATTTTCCCCAAGGAGCTGCAAAGATAACTTTAAGTAGGCAGCCAATTTCTGTGGGTCCATGGCTTTGAGAAGGACGCACAAAGAGGCCATCACGGATCGCATACACATTCCATTGCCAGCCATTTTGAAGATCTCCTTATTACATTAAAGAGCGAAAAACTGTTCAAATTGTTTCAACATAGTATCTTGGTGCAAACGAGATTCAGAATTGGAAAAGCCTGACAGGTCCAAGGCATGAACGGGTAGCCCCATCAAGACCAGAGCTTCCACTCCTACAGGATTGCCAAGTGCAAGGCAGCCGAGCAGTGAGAGTTGAGCCTGTGAGGAAGCGCTGCTTCTGTGCGAGGAGATAAGATCCATGCGGCCTAAGTTCGTTGAAGAGTCAACGGCCCATGTTGCATTTCTATCTTAGTCTGCTTCTTATTTTTTCTTAGCTGGGGAGCGTAATGCAAGGGAAGTGTGCATCCTCTTTCACCATCACATTCATGCGATCAATATTCTGGGACGTATTAGCCACACGGAAATCTCCTCCAGTCCATTTTGTGATCCTGTCAAGAGCCTGAGCCCGCCAAAGTAGCATGTCATGTTTTGAAGAAGGGACACTGTCGAGACATTGCAAGCCAAAAAGCATCTAGTTCCCTTTCAGTTGAAATCTGAAGTGCAGCAGTGGGATACATCTTCTTGAAAGCACCAACAAATCCCTTTGACCTGAAGGCTGCAATGGGCATTAACAACCATATACTGTAGGTTGGTGCTGCGCCTTCTTTTTGCGTGCCCACTTTGTGTGGCGGGCTCTCCATTTCGCAGACTTGGACCTCGCTGGTTGGTGGACAAAAATCGGCAAGAGGTGGGCACCGGCAGGTGTAACATCATATACCTTTGAAGTGATCCAAGGCACTTTCTCTTGAAGGCATGCTTTCGGCGGAGTTGTCGGTGTTGAACACATTGTCGTACTTCACCAGAATCAGTCCAAGAGCAAAGATTCCCTGGACGACAGTAAAACTTGTGTTGTTTTATTTGGGTTGACGTTTCAAATAAAACACATTGTTTTCAATAATCAAGGTGCCAGTCGGTATTGTTTGGCATTGCCAAGCCCTCAATAACTGCTGCTGCAAAATCATCGAAATTGCTCGACGCGTGTTTGTCCACCACTTCGGAGTGGACCAGCAAGATGTAGACCCGGTCACGGCTCAGTGGGGATCCAAATTGTGTCCTCGGTTAATCGTCACAAGCCCCTTCTACAATTATTGTGAAGAGCACACATACAAATAGGACAAGAGGCGGATTGAGGCCTACCATAGTATACAAGTACCTTGTAGTTTGGCAGCAAGACTTAAAAACATATCAGCCATGTAAACATCCATGGTTTGAACAAGTGGCTCTGGAAGTTCTTTGTCTATGTGTTCACGAACACACGGCCACACTCTCAAGAATCCCTTAACGTTTTCCAGCAGCACAGCCTCAGTGACATCATTGGGTTATGGGAGGAGGTTAGGACACGGTGGTGATAAGCTAACTGTGCAAGACAAATGACCCCTGGCTGCATGTCACGGACATGTTGCAGCACCGCCCACATTTGCTTGGCATTGCGGTCTGCAAGGAGTTGAGATCCACCATGAAGAAGACTGAACGGCGTGCACGGAAAGCCGGCCGCGTATACAGCGACCTCGCCACAAAGTGCAATGCTTGAACAAATTGAACAAAACCTTCCTGGCACACCTTCCGATGGTTCTGGGAGGCGTCCACAGCAAACACATCTTTGGTTGACCTAAGATGGCCAAATAGATACTGCATGTCAAATCAAAGAGAAACAACCAGTTAATTTGCCCAAAGTGCTGGTCAGGTTCTTCAAAGTTTTGTTGAAGAAACCGCTGCGCTGCTCGACCACATTCACTGTTTGACCTTGATGCTCCCCCCAAAATGACTCCACCAAGTTTATACTACTAAGTTACTAAGTGTAGATACAACGAGTGGCCGATACTTGATCAGATTCTGCTTGCGTGCGAACAACTGCTTGAGTGCGATCAGCGGTGTGTCCATGCCACTGCCTTAAATCAACATAAGAAAGATGTGCGTCTCCACGATGTGAGGTTCTTTAAGAACACAAACGAGCTGCAGTCGCTTGCGTATCCAAAAGGATATGTGCATCGACGGAGAAAATCTGATAAACCTTGGCTGAAAAATAACATTGCTTTGCCCATTGCCATGCTTACCTTAAAGTGACTTGCCGTGCAAGAAACCCGCATTCTGTGCAAACATTGGTGCGCAACTCAAGTACTTCTTCTGCTCAGCTGTCAAATCCTTCCAGTTTTAATTAAAAAACATGGTATCATCATACAAAACAAGTTTGTCCTGGAAAGGCTCTTCCATATCCTCATCGGATGAGGAAATTTCACGCCACACTCCCATGGCTGCCACCAATCACCCCTTTTTGGTCCATACACCCTTGGGCCAAAAAGCTGCATGTTGTATGGAGCCCTGGTTGCATTTTGGATAAGCCTTGGTTGCAATTGGAGCCGCATTATAATATACTATACAAAACAATAAACAAATAGAGCACCACTTTGAAACCCCCTAGGTCATCCATGATCATCCTAGGTCCTGAGGTTGATGTTTGTTCCCTTCACTATCCATCAGCTGCACCTCGAGGTGTGCTACGCCAGTGATCCGCTTCACAGCCACCTCAGCCAGTCTGTTGCGTTGGAATGAGCACAGCCAGTCCGGCTAGTCCGGCTAGTCCCCCAAATCCACTGCCATGCGCACAAAACAATCAGATCAGATCAGTTACAGTAATATTTGTTTGGTCAACGAAGTCAAAAACGCTCCTTCGCTGACTTTTGCACGGATCCTTCGCTTTCTTTTCACGATGAGGACAGCACCACACACCGCACGCACAGCACCACCGAACCCTTCGAAGCCGTTTTTCGCGACGAGTTCCGGTGGAGAAGGGAGGCAGGCTGTGCAAGAAAAAGAGTGCGCAAAGTAAATTCTACATGAATCATGCTACAAACAAACATCGACAATAAATCATAGTTCATTCAATAAAACCGAACGAATTCAAAGTAATTCCTCCTCACACCCGGAAAACACCCGTAAGCCGTCTCGCTTTGCAGCCCGCGCCTCTTGACCTTTCCAGGAACCACGAAAGACTTGGGCAGAGCCGCCCGCGCCTCATCTCCCATCCGCTGAAATCATGAAAACTGCATCAAAATCTTCCTTGGTGTCTCACATGGTCACACGGCAGTCTGTCTTCGTTTCCAATAAGCACAAAAACATACCAGGGCCATCCTGTCTGGGTATCCTGCTTGGACTACCCTCCACTACTAATTAGTATTAGTATAATTACTTAGGTATCTCCAGATTGGACACCCCGACAGGATGGTCCAGGTATGTGACGACAACAACACACATTAATTTAGTATAAACTGACACACACACACATGGCCGTTGGTTACTTTTTCATGTACATACACACACTTCACACACGTCCTGTCCGCCACAAAACCAACTCGGTCACACAATCACTGAACATGACTGAACAGTTCGCGGATGATCAACTCGATTGTTACAGGACGATGGTCATACAACCCAACAATCAGCCACGGCCACTTCTCAAGACTACCATGGCCGTCGGACGTCGTTGCCCTTGTAACCACCACTGATACCGCGGTGTTTCATTCGTCCCTTCGTCCCGGATGGTTTCGGATCGGACCACGACCACTTCCCGCTCAGTCGGCCGACCCAGCTGAGGACCCAGGAGGAGCTCTTCGGGCCGAACGAGCTCGTTCCAGCCTGGGTGCCGGTGGTCCGGTTGTGCGGGGATGGAGAAGGAACGGATTGATTTGAGTAAGCCGAACAAACCATGCAACTTGACCCACATGCAACATCATGCGACATCGACTTGCACCTTTAACTCTAGGACATACAAACTGCAAACTGCCTATGTTTGATCCATTTCATAGATCCATAAACAAATCCTAGAAATCCTCTCCCAGGTTCAGCCAGCTCCAAGGTGGACGTCACACCAAATCCCAACCTCATGAGGTTCTCTATGGAACACTCGTGTGTCTAGGATTTTCCATGTGTCTACCTCTCCAATATGTATTGCATATCATTATTAATAATTAATATATATATATAGTAATATATATATATTTTTACAGTGATTTTTCAAACCAAAAAGGCAACGCTACATTGCCCCCTTACAGCCCAGAAGAAAAAGGCTTCGTCAACAGGAACCACAGATTTACCACTCACACAGTCCGAACCACCTCTCCACTCAAACAGCTCCTCCCGGTCGTCAGCTCCTGCCGGTCGTTTCGCTCTTTTTCCGTCGCCGTTCCCGAACGACAAAGAGACGAACCGCCGGTGTCTTCGACTCCGAACGGCCCCAAAACACGACGCTGCTGCTCGTGCTGGCTGGGATGCGTTCATGAGATCCAAAAAGCATCGGATTAAACAAACTATAAACCATACTGTTACTAGTAGCTTCTTGTTCCTAGTAAGGCCAGGAGCCCCGTTCGTAGCGTCCTTGCTAGTACCGATGCCAGGAGCCCCTAGTAGCTTCTCTAATGGTCTATATGGTGGTGTGAGTTGTAGATAGAACCATTACAACTCATGAATAGGAACAGGAAACATCATAAACATCGTCTTTTTATATGTAGTTGACGTGTCCGCTGTGATGATGAGGCAGAATGCCTCCCACAACGAGTCCACCCAAAAGCCTTGCAGCTGGACAATGCCTCCATGAGTGTTTTGATGCGAAGGCTGCATCGATTCTTCTGGCCGTTTGAACATGACCAGGACACATCTGCTTTGCCCCACACGTACACCAAGACTAAATGCATTCTACAACCAAACAAAAACAAACAGCCGAACATAGAAACATGTTCTTGGACATCCCAGCTTTGGATAGCCATGACACATCTTCAAACCAACTGAAAAGAAGGGATCCCGCCTGAGAGGTTTCCTCAAGCTGCTCACCATGATCTCACTGTCTTCGACCATTCGATCAAGACCGGGACAAATCGAGACTCACCGCCGCACCAGTTCAGTGTCACCCTTCGTGGTGAAATCGACCTGTGCTGGCAGGAGCTCACGCCGGCATCCGACAGGAAGCAGAGCTTCAAAAAGATGGTTCCCGTCTTCAAAAGGATCCGTCCTAGGACATGTCAATGTTGATGGGCCCTCACATCTCGCGAAAAAAAAAAAAAAACACCAACAGCATGTCGTACCCATGGCAACTCAGCTTAAGCTGCTGGCTGAACTTATGTTCCATCGCCAGTCAACCATTGCTCCGGAACAGGTCATTCAGTTTGTCTATTCCCTGCCAATCCAAGGACCAAGTAAAACCTGGTCCTTGACCTCATTGAGTACTGTTTTTGTATGACTGGACTGACTGAAATGGGGTGATAAAATGCGGAACATATCATTTTGTGAATATTGTATAACACTTGCATCTTTCAACTCGGTTTCAAAGCTCTTGAACTTAAATTATACATCTCGCGACTTGCATTTCAAAACGCAAAGACCCTCGCGGCGTAAGGCGTCCCATGTTGGACAATGGTGTGGCGACTTTCTGAAGTCTCTCCATGTCGCTACTCAAGCGATGGGCTGAGTGGGTTGGCCAAGAAACCCAAAAAACACTATGGAGTTGTTTGATGTGGATATATTTACAGTAGATGATCCATCCAAACATGACTGCAGATTGATGATGATTCCTCAATCATCGATTCCATGAAAGATTCGCACTCCTCTTGATCAGCCCAACCTTTCATCGCATTTTGGACGACTCACGGCACCGGCCTCGGCTCAAACGAGATCTCGCAGCGACTGCCCTACACGCCCACGCTGCGCTGCGGCACGTCTCTCAGAGGAGCACTGGTGGCTCCTCAAAACTCAGGGGATGAGCGCCATCCATATGCGCGACATTGTGCAGAAGGCTGTAGCCCGCCTTGGTCGAAGACGGTATGTTTTTCTGTTTTTTTTTGTAGAACCGATGCTTTTCTGGGGTTGCGTTTGGAGACCGTGGCTGTGCCTGCCCAGGAAGTTGCACGAAGGAGTTATCCAATGAATTAAATGTCTTTTATCTTCTCAGTTTCACCCATGAGGTCAGCATCCCCTTTCTCAAACAAACACAGAAAGGCAGCTTCCCTTAAAAGAGAAAAGGCACGGCTTCATCACAGTGTTCCCTCTTGAGGTTTATATCTTGGATTCGCACGGCTTCATCACCCCGCTCAGTTTTCTCCCTCCGCCCCTTCTCCGCTCCAGTTCCACACCCGCCGACCCGCACCAAGTCGCGGTAAAAATGCCGTTGTCGGAGACCATCAGAGAGTAGGACCACCCCGCCGCCACGTCCAGGACCCTCTCGGTGATCTTCATGCGAACTGGCATGTTGTGCTCCTGGAAGAGGGATGAAAGATGGATGGTCAAGGACCAGATGCGTAACCTAGTAGCCTAGCCACTTCTGTACTGGATATACTGTAAGATACTGCATCCTTTTGCAACTGGATATACTGGGTGTACGAATGGTCCTTTAAGACTCGAAGAACACGTTATGATACCCCTAAAGATATCTAAAGATCATCTGTGTACTGGATGCACTGGCATAGAGTCTTTGTCTGGATGTCTGATTATGTCTGATTGCGGTGTTTAATCGGAAATGATGGATTTCATGGGCAAAACCTACAACCCCTAGGCCCTAGCACTCTTGGGTGTCATCACACTGTCCAGGTGGCGCAGGACTTTGTCCATCAAATAAGACTTGACTTGTGGGTATCCCATTGTAAAACGTTGCCATTCAAGAGTAGTCGGGTTCCGGTTCGCTTCAAATACCAACACTCCCGTTAAAAGAAGTCACATAGGCATCAAAATGCGTTCAATGCACCCATCCCTAAGTCTCATGGATTAGCAGATTTGCTATGTGTTTCCGCCAAAACACCACATCCAAGTGACCAGAGACTGCTCAAGAGTGGAGACCCCTGCTCAGAAGTGGTTGTAAACCACGTGGAGATACGTGGAGCCCCCCTTTGTCTTGATAAATCCCAGTGAGGTCCAAAGAGCCAGAAGTCCTTTACCTCATTGAACAGTGTTTGACAATGTGCTTTTGTATGATCCAACTCCAGTCACATGAGGTCCAAAGACCTGTAGCAGAATGGTTTGCAGTTTCAATCGTCGAGTCGAGTGGTGATTGATGTTGGCATCCGAGCCGATGCTGCTTTACCCAGCATCCAAGAAACCTCGAATATCCTCAAATGAGCCACTCTAAAAACCTGGAGTCACTCCCTATGACAAGGTCCTTACTTAAGATGTAAAGGCAGGTTTTTAGAGCGGCTGAAATGCTTATGCTGAGGTTGTACTGTAACTTCTCAGTCACCTCTCCCGGCACCGGCAACAGCTCAGCTCAGACGTTCGATGAAGCACACGGCAACAGCTCTAGTTCAAACATCTATAAGAGCTATACTGTAGGAACCATCTTCGCTACGAACGGGGCTCAAGGGCCGTACAAAACAACGGAGCGCTCGGACGGGGCTCCGTCGCCCGAGCTCGAAACACACGCCGAGCAAACAGGTCCGAGCCGACGGGGTCCCGGTCGACGCTCGTCCTGAATGCCAGGAACTCCCAACTGCCCATCGGAATTGCCCCCCGCACCGAAGCAACGGCCATCCTCTGTCACCACCTCACGGAAGGACCGCAGAAGGGGGGGAAGCAGAAAAGACCTCTGGGGGTCTTTCAGTCTGATTTACCAGTGGTCTTTCAGGGGGTGTTTTACTAGGGTGTGGTAGGGGGTGCGACTTATATCCACTCACAACACCGCCCCCTTTGCAACTCTGTTTTGAATAGCAACACATTCATCGAGCCCAGGTCAGGTGGCCTAAATGTCCAGGTCTTTGTCCCCGCATGTTCTTTGGCCCCCTGGCTCAACAACCAGAATTATTAAAGGCAGTGCATGTGGCAGACTTTGTTTTCTAACATAAGGAACAAAGGGATGAATCTCTGCATCTCTGAGGGCGTGTCGATCCTCCCAAGGCCCTGCGATGTGTCCAACCTTTTCCCATTTTTGGAGGTGATCTCCCTTTCACGGAGGGGTCCTGGAATCACGTCGCCTATGCAACAAATACTACAGTATCAGGTTTCATCGATTTCGCCCCTTTCCAACTTTGCAGGGTACAATGAAGGACTTCTGATGACTTTTGCATCCGTGGCCATAATATGGTGATGGGCCAAACGACCAAGTCACAGAACAAATCCCTATATTGGCCCTATATGTGTATATAACTGTACGTATATATGGGAGTTGTCCAACAAAACTCTTCTTTTTGAGCTTGTATCGCCGGCCTTTCGCGACCCTTTCGCGTTTGCAGAAAAACCACAGGTTTTCCTTTCGCGCATTGTGATGAGCTTCACTGAGTTCACAGTGTTTGGGATATCTAAATACCTGTTAGTGCGCTGAGAAGCAGGCCAATTACCCTTTGTCAATTCATACTTGAAACAAATGTTTCAAGGCTTATTTCAAGGCCATGGATGGGCAAATGACCTTCCAGGCAATGCGCCCTTTCGCGGGCCTACCGCCGGCCTTTCGCAGCCCTTTCGCGAAAATCCGTCTTTCTGTTCGGGAAAAAGGATGTGTCATGTATTATGCACATTGTATGTAAGTCTAGGTTGGCACATGTCTTTCGCTGTCCTATCGCCGGCCTTTCGCGGACTGCAGTTTCCCTTTCGCGACATGTGTGTTTTAACATTTGATCGAAATTCCTTCACTGGCAATAACGGACGGCCCTCATATAAGAAACCTTTAATTATATATAGATCTTTATGGATATCTTTATAGTACAAGTATACCTGGACATACCTGGACCATCCAATTGGTGTCCCATGGCCTCTAAGAGGTGTAGGGTAGTCCAACACCCAGAGAGGATGGTCCTGGTATATACAGATCTGAGGACGGATGGAAGGACCTCCCGGACACCCGGGGGCATCCTCTGCGCAGTGGCCCGGCATCCCAAGGCACCAAGCTGTGAAGATCCCCCGCAGCCACTGCCACTGCGCGCGCATCCAGGGGCATTGGCCTTGACGCATCCAGGGAGAGAGGCTGTCGAACTGGGATGAGAGGCCACTTGACCGCAGTTGTGCTGGGCGGGTCTTAAAGCAAGCCATTCAATTGAGAGACATGTCTTCGGGCCGCAGATCGGTGTGCTGGGCGTGTGGTTTCGGAGGTGGCATCGGCTGCCCAAGGCACTTGGGCGTGAGGATCTGCTCATTGTGCCCCAAGCCCAGCTGACCGTGGATGTTGGACCCCACACTGAGCACCTCGCCCGAGTCCTCGAGCGGACTGGGGCCAGATGCTGAGCACACCGGGATGTCATGTTAGGACAGGGACCCAGCAGAGTCACAGTTCCTATCATTTGAAGAGGATCTTGGATCTTTGTAAACACTGCTGCACAAAGGCAAGTACTACTACTAGCTCCATCAAACTCTGAAAGCATTGTGACAAGCTTTTGGAGGGTTGATCAACCTAGTTCCACCGCCCCAACTCATCACTGATGGTTGCAAGGTGAAAAAAACGCATCTCCACATCCCGGCGTCTTTTGGAGATTGCAACTGTTCGCCTTTTGCTTTAGCCCCCCAAAATGGCTGCTTCAAACTGACAAAAAGGGACTGGTTGCGACCTGTGCCGCCCGTGCCTCAACATGACTGGTGGATAAAAAGCATGTTGTGTTGAGACCAAGTTCTTTCCTTCAGAGAACTAGATGCCAATGAATCGAACAAGACACTGCAACAAAGAACATTTAACATCAGATCTATGAGCAACCAGTTTCAAGTTCCAACTCCTAAATTTAGATGTCTGGACTCACTAATTATGGGTAAGTAGACCATAGTAGACCGCACATATTCTAATGATCCATGATTTTCCATCACCGAAGTGTGGCAGGGAATATCACATATCATCAAATATCTTGGAACATGATGGAACAGTGGTTCCATCACCCAGTTTGACCTCTCGCTGGAAGAGGTACTTAGACCAAGGCGCCATCAGGATGAGCGAATGCGATGTGCCCGCCGCAATGGCACGCGCGGTGCCGTTGAGGTGCATCTTCTGGGGAAATTTCTGATCTTCCTGTCAAAACTGAGCTCGAAGGAGGCAGCCAAGACTAAAGGAGTATGCTTGTGACATGTTCAGTATGCAAAACCAATCACCAAAGCACTGCACCCGGACAGTGATGGAGTTATTGTGAGTTATTGGTCACCAACAGCTACCCTTGCCACCAAATAGGCGCCCAACAGCTGCCCGTGGAACATGTTGTTTCCCTCAGATTCGTTTCTGGGTCAACTCCACCAGCCATGCGCTGGGTGCGCTGCTGCCATTGTTGTGCGCTCCCAGTCCTGGTGCCCAAGACCTAGTTGGCCATACCAATTCTCGCCAGTTCCATAGACTTCACCCGACTCCAATAAGACCTGCAGATCCGAAAAGTATTTTGGCACATGGTGGAAGTCTGGCTTTCACCAGCATATTCAAATGATCTGCCCCAATGTCCCAAGTCAATGGCTAGCAGTATAGAGCAGTATGACAACTCGCACAATCCGCGCTCTGCGGAGTGTTTTGTCGGGAAGACTAGGCGATCAAAATGGGATGAACTCTAAGTGACACATATGTGCGATCAAGAACATTCAAGAGCCAAATATTGTGCCAAGCAGCCAAGGAATGGGAGCACCCTGCGGCAATGCCTTTGGCTTTGCCTGTCTTCCAGAATCGCGGGCCGGGTGGGGTTGAAGTGAGACACGCGGTGCTTCCACAAGCTTGTGTTTTTTCGATGTTGGTCCCCATCTCTGAAGGAGAAGCTCCAATTTGTTTAAGGATCTTTTGATGGAGAGTGCCTTACAGCCCCGCTGTTTAATCAACTGAAATTTCTCTGATCTCTCCAAAAAAGGATCGCTTAAGCACCGTGTTTGCTGGCAGGTTGCTACCAGTCATTCATAACACAATGGTTCAACAATTCCAAGTGATGCCACGTAGAGCTGCCATGGGGCGGCTACCACAACCCCACCACCCCATCCATCCACCTCCCACCACTACCAATAGAGTACCTGATTTCAGCAAAAGAACAGTCTGCCGACCTGGGAGCTGCATCTTCTGTGGCTTCGTGAGGCGCCAGTCGTCCCCCACACCCAACTGGCCAAGGCTATTGTGCCCAGTGCCATAGACCTGCGGTGCGCTGGGCCATCACCATCCGCGGGCGCCAGGCCCAAGGCGGAATTAGCCGTCCAACAACAAGTTCAGGTGTGCGCATTATTGCGCCTTCAAGACAGGTGGGGCTGTATTGGGGAGGAGTTGGTCTTGTTTGGGGGAGAAAGGGATGCAGTGGAGGGATACCGTCAGGTTGGATTGAAGTACAGCATGGTACTAGTATGTACTAGTACAGTATTAAATGGGACTTCTGTCTGCCGTGTGGAACAAAAGCCTCCCTGCTATTTTCAATGAGGTTCTCTAAGACTCTAAGAGGCTCTAAGCGGTTCCAGTGATCCACAGAAGACACCGAGAACGGTGTCACTGCGAGGCCGACGCGACACTTTCGCCGACGCGAGCACGTTCGCCGCACCTCGCCCGACTGCATCAGCAAAAGGGAGAACCAACAGCCGGCAGACGCAGCCAGAGCCTGGCAGACCAGTACAAAGACCATTTTTGGACACCGATGTGGCTTGGCATCTCATCAAATTCCTATTTATCTAAACATTCTGTTTCATTTCTGGCACAATCTTCCCATTGTATTTTTTTTTTATCTTTTGTTTGTTTCTAGTCCTTTTTTCATCTTAGTTGTCAAACTCAGCTTAGGTGCCACGATTTCGGCTACGTGGCCGCGTGGCTCCAAGCCGCGCGAAGGCGTGGCGTCGTGGCTCCATGTCCTGCTCCTCCCATCTGGCCTTCTCGGGCAGCGGCATCACCAGGGGGCTCCACTGGGACTCAACACCTCGACCAGGACTGCAGACTCGTGACTCATGGACTAAGCTCGTGGATGTTGAGTGAAAAAGAACCCCTGAGACTGTTCACCGTTCCTGTTCCATTCTGTTACTATGGCTTTACGCCCCATTGCCATGGTGGTTTCTACACCATGTTTCCAGCAACTGCTGGGTGCACTCTTGTTGGATGCTGAGTGCACTCTTCAGCGATGACCATGGATCTACTCCATGGATCCCATGGACCTTCACTACCTGACTGCAGGGCACCTCCGTTGCCCAGCTGCCCGCGGCTTCCATCGCCCGCGGCCCACACCGTGCCGTCGGCCAACAGCAGCGAATGGGTGGAGCCCGCTGCAATGCCCTCGGACACATCACGGTGGTGAGAACTGAGATTTCCAATGCATATGGTGTGGATCTAGGGTGAGATCTATACGGATCTATATTGTATATGATTCATCTTGTGGATTCTATGCGGTGGCAGGTGTCTTGCAAACACAGGAGCAGTTGTTCATAGATTCAATATAGATTCATGTATTTTGGATTTGGCTGCAGGCGACTTGCAAACACAGGAGCGATTGCTCTTCATTCATCAGTTCTTTTGCATTCTACTATGGCTCCCACAACATTTTACTTGTTTCATCCTGCTTCATCCATGGGTCAGTCGCAATGATTTACGCACCACACAATCCTAGCCGGTCATTGGTTCTCCTGAACAGATGAAAGGTTCCATAAGGATCTTTGTAGCTTGCAACGAGAATATCTGATCTTTTTGCTATAACCATGTCTAACCGTTTGCATCCTCATACTCCAAATTTTGATCACTTATCACTGCATCAATCTGCATCACAAGCATGAGCCCTTCACTTTCGCCCTTCACTTTACGTGTACAACAAAGGAACACCATGGAACACCAATCCACCGCCCAGTCTCCTCGATCCTTGGGCCCACTTCGATCTTCACCCGGTGGGAGATGGCCTGTTGTCCGCTCGTTTTCGGAGGCGACCGCACCGCGACCGGACCGGTGCGTAGGTTCCACGGTGGGTGCAACACGGTTAGGACGTGCTTTCCGATACCGTTCTGGTGCGATTGCTCGACCCACAAGTGATCCGACTGACGCGAGTCGTCTGGTGCAAGGTATATACGTATATATATACTTTGAATATAATCGAAGATACACAACTCTGCAGACGACGCACTCTGATGCCGAACAAATCACGGATGCCGAAGATTGTGAAAACACCCAGCCCCATCTCAATCATGCCAATCGTCTCAAGACCTTTACAGACGTATTTTTTTGTATAATTATAGGTATCATTTAGTCCAATTATAAAGGTGTTTATATAGTTACTTTGAACATGGCTTCCCTCATTCCTTCCTCCGAAGTGTGTCATCCCAACTCATCACCCAATCACCTGAAAAAAATCACACATCATCGCCAATCATCGCTGCCCATGCCTGGTCATGTCCTTGCCCCAGCTGTCCATAGCGGTTGTCCCCCAGCGCGTAGGTCGCCGGCCGTGGCTCGGGTATCGAGATCAGCGCATGGTCGCCTCCCGCAGAGACCTGCAATGCCGGTGAAACCAAGAGCCACAATGGACAAGCAAAACAACTGATGGTTAGGAGGCCATGGGGTGGATGGGGGGGTGAAAACCTTACGATAGTGGTTAAACACGACGTTCTATGGTTGAAAGACGCTTCGCTGGGTAGTTGTTCTCTAAAAATGGTGATCTGGTGGGGAAAGACCTTCAAAGCACAGGGTTACTCTATGGTTCATGGAAGGAAGCGGTACAGTACTAGTCAGCCATCCACAGGAAAGAATGACATCGTGGCCACCGTATTTCTGTACAGCTCACTATAGGTTTCAATCTCTATATCTGCTATCTGACCAACAGCTTTTGTTCGAGCTTCGTGTGTGGCCTGCGTTCCCAGTGGACACACCACTTGCGCAGAGGCGGCTGAGAGAATCAAAAGAAGCATTGGACACGCCATCGCAGTAGCAGTGCTAGCTGTGCTTGCTCTCACAGGTTATAGGGTCTATGTGACCACTGCTCTAAAGGCTTGCAGGATTCTTCTTTTCTCACTGTTGATGGGTCCAGTCCTCATCAGGGATCGCACTTTCTTGAGGAGTCTTGCTGACAAAAAGGGGGCTCGGATTGCGCACCACATGATGCAACAGATTGGAGGGTGTCTCCATCATCCAAGTAAAGCAATCACTGCACACCATGAATTCACAAAAGGTGCCATGTTTGATGGACAGGTGCTGCGAACTCCAAGGCCTTGCACTCAGCAAGATTTGGGTGGGGAGACCTCCCAGTTCGACCCCCCTTGGAAGAAGGAAGATAGACCACACCCTATTGGGTGAGGGGGGTTCTCCCTATCTCTCCCTGTGGGAGCTAGCGGTAGGAACTGTTTTGCCTTCCCAAAGTGCAACTCCTAGTTTCCCAGTATCCCCGACATGTTTCATATGTATTCATCTTCGCAAAGCGAGACACACACACACACACACAAAAGAACCACAAATAACACAGGCGAAACATTAGAACAAGACAAGACTCTCCAAAATACTCCAAGAGTCTTGAGTCTTGAAGAAATCATGGAATCTTGACAACTTGAACTACTCCAAGGGAAACTCCGGTGCAATCCTCAAGCCCTCAAAAAGCTGGGCTTGGCGACATCCACATACTGACGACTGCGTCCGCTCTGGCTGCTCCTCTCTCTCTCTCAACCAAATCCAAACGTTCCACTCTCGCCGCGAAGCATCGGTGATCTCTAGGCCCCCCGAGCCGATGGTGAGGCCCCGCTCCTGAGATGAGGACGCCGTGGTCACAATAGCATGCATCATGTGGTCACCGTGGTCTCTGATCTGGAGGTCGAACGTTGGAGGATGTTGGAGGCAGGTTGGACAGTGCCCTGGAGAAGTTGGTTCACCTTTCCAGGTCAATCTTTCTGCAAATAATTGAGTTGCAACAACTCTCCATTGCGACTGTTGAGAAACAAACATAAACAATCTGTCCAATCCGTCAGAAAATATTTTACACTTTCCAAGAACATCCAAAGACTGAGGTAATTATGCTCCTCTCCCTCTACCAACTGTATAAGACCATCGGGGGGTGCCTGGCAGGGGGACATGTCCACGTTGGAAAACACCGCCAGCGACTAACGGTCGAGGAGACTCACATTTCGTGGGACCCCTATGCAAACCCCAAGAACTCTGTGGTGCTATGTGGCATGCCAAACGGATTTCCGTTACAATCATGTATAACTGTATAATCATTAAGTCTACCACTGGTCCTGAAGTAAGAGCACTGTAATACACTGTAATACGTTCATTTCCTTATCAAACTCCTCCAACATGGAATACATCGAGCATCCATTGCAGGCACTGTGGAAATCCCCCCTCTTTCGAACACACGTTGACACCAAGTGTTTCAGGGGCTACAACACCCGTTTCAACGCAATTGCCAATGAAGAGACACCTATCCAACACCCATCCAACACGTCCATCTGACCGCCCCCAACACCAACACCGACACCAACCGAGACGACTCAGCGACCGCGACCCGTTTCGTCTCCTGCGAGGTATCCCGGGACCGAACCGGGGTGCCGCAGGCATCCCGATTCCGGGACCGCGCCGGCGTGGCGCCTCGGTCGAGCCAGGTGGGAAGTGCTACTAGTAGCAAGCTACTAACAAAGGGATGGCTCCTATCCTAGAAGGGATGGCCTATGATGGCCTCCAAGCTCATTATGTGGTACTGGTGGAGGATATCCGAGTTTTCGTGGTGTCTTGGGTTCCCCATGATGTCACAACCGGACAATCCATGCCAGTTGTACCACAGTGAGCATGAGTATGTGCGAAAGCAGTTCGAGCTGTTGCACTGTTGATAGAAACGGTTGAGGTTTTTGCGGACATCGTCTATCGATGTTTCAGCGAAGAAGAATGAATAACATCTCAAACATATCCTACGTCTCAGGAATTTGAGTCTTGTGAACCGTCCAATCAAATCCATTGTCGCTCAACGATGTGACCACTGACATAGAACTTGGCTCTGTCCTCTTCTGAACGAGGATTGTGTATGGCGGTTCACCAATCTAGTGGGAAAGTCTTCTAGCATTTATACAGGCAATGGATGCATCCAAATCCCTGTCCTTGTTGAGGATGTGGTCATACAACCGTGCGATTCTGTGGACATGGTGCGACCACTTCAAGCGATGAAAGTCAACCAACAACTCCAATGGTTTGCGATGTAGCTTACTGGCTTGATATGGCGCCCCATCACATAGTCCATAGTCCAAGCATGTCAAACCCTATAACAACCATTCCAACACTCCTATGATCCCCTATATAAACTATTCTGAATGGTACATTCGTAGGGATTCGGCGCACTTGGACTCACGCCGCTCACGCCCAACTGAAGCGCATTCCCAGCAGCAAGGGGTACCCTGGTGGCTGACGAGGCACCTGCCTTAGCGATGCAAAACAAAGTCGGGGCCCTAGTGGGGAGAACAATCTGCAACAAATCATCATCATCCTGTTTCTTCTCATCTTCAACAAGTCTGAAAACAATTGAACGTAGGCTATTGGAACATGCTGAGCTTGGCTTACTGAGAGGTAACCACGGGAACTTGCACAAAACACGGCCCCTGTCGGCTGACAGGTGAAGAAACATGTGGATTGTCAGCGATGGTCATAATTTTCAGGCTTCACTCGGATGCTTATATGTGCAAAGAATGGAGGCCTGTACACAATACACTTATCAATAACATTTTGAGGAGGCTGCCTCCGTGGTCTGGGAGGCGCAACAAAGCTGCACAGGGTCGATTCTATTATCGGATCTATCGAAAGGTGGCAGAAGGCCCCAGCAAAAAGTTCTAATTATATACTTTGCGGAGATGATTCTTGGTTCAGGGTCCCTGTAGAAGTTTGGTGAGGGTGTCAGGATGTGCCAGAGGCATCTTAAAATGAAATATTCTAGCACATCTAATTACAAAACTTGCAGTTTCCTTGTAACATCAAACAATATCACAGACCTCATCTGCCACGATTGATGGATCATGTGAGTCATGTCTTACGATGACACCCTTCTTCCAGTGAAAACGTTGTTCACCTCAAAAGAAAACATGTCCTGAAACCCCGTTCGCCACCGATGAGTTGCTCCATCCGTCCTGAGTTGCCCGGCCGACCGCCTTGGGCGTTGAGGGCACCGTGGAGGGCACACTTTGCATCGCACCCTCCCTGGTCGTGGACGGAGGTGCGGCGCTCGGTGCGCAGCAGTGGTGCGCGAGACAAATCGACAGGGAACACCCCACTGACTTAGTCAGGGATACTACGCTACATGGCATTTTTCTTCCCTGTCGTGCCAGCATGTAGACGATGATTGTTTTATGGTGGTTTCATAAATCCGCCCATAAATTTAGGTAAAATATGGTAAAATAACCTTGTCACATCTTCAAACCATTCTGGAGACGGAGGATTCATTAACAGTGTACCATAGTCGAAGCTGGGAGGGTCCTTGTAGCTGGTCTCCATGTCGGTCTTCGTGAAACATGCAAGCTGTGGTTGGTCCCGAGCTGCGCCAAGAAAATTTCACACGAACTTCACCCGGGCCGTGTTCACGGTATCCGACATCATCGTCCTACTGGTAGATATGACATGTGACTTATGATGACATCCAAGTCATGAGATTGGGTGGACATGGGTACATCTCGCTTGGACATGGTCGACCCTGCTGTGGCTGGCTGCATTCACAAACTAACGGGTTGAGATAAACAAACACAAAATTTATGATCATGATCCTATTTCCCACTACATGGAACAAAAACACAATAAACAAACACATTTGGCGGCTAAATGACATCTGTTACATTCATTCACTTTCAGTGCCCCAAACACTGCAAATGACTTCCAAAAAACGTGATTTGAACGCATGTTCCTTCCAGGCTGGTGATCCAAACCAATCGACACCCATGCCATAGTTCTTCACATGAAAGAACTCATATGACTCATATTACTGAATCTTGAAACCAGGATGTCTTGACAGGTCTGTGCTTGAAGGATTTTCAGGGACTGGCAGGTTGTGTCCCCTTTTATTCGTGAATTTTGCATCCGTTACTATCTTTCAACCGGTTGTTGACATTCGATGATGCTTGCGCAAAAAACACACAAGATTCCGTGTTTCTCCCAACTTCTGCCTCCCACGGCTGTGCCACTCGGAAGACTTCGTGCTGCGCGAACTGCCACGTTCCAAACGATGGCGGAGAACATGGGTTCCGCTGGGTCACTGGATGTGAATCATGGTCTGAAGCAAATGAGTCCGGTCCTTTTCGTGCACCATTTTCCTTTTTGTTACGTTTTATTTACGTGTATTTAAGTGCCTGCCAAGAAATGCAAGCGTCAGAGTTAAGGGGTCACGAGTACTTTTTGGTTGATGGTGTCTTCAGAGGCTAAGGACAAGGTATCCAAGATGATGTGGTTGGGCAATGATTGTCAGTTGATAGCGCAATGTGTTGGCAAAACTTCGACAGGAAATCACTGACATCTTGCAAGCCCAGACATGATTCGAACAACCCCTTCATAGTGTTTTTTCATCAAGAGTCTACATGAACTTCCATCTCTGCCTGCTGCCGGCGGCCCTTCCAACTGCTCGCGCATCGCTCCGCACTCCAGTCTCTTCGTGGACTAAGCGCCGTGTGGAGGCAGGTTGATCTTGTGATGTTGGGAAAGAATCTCTTCTAGAAGAAAACATGCTCCAAGGCAACCGCAAACGAGAAAGTCTTGGAAACACTACGACCCGTGTGAACATTGGGCCATTCGCAAGCCTGGTGCCCACTGGAAAGTTCTGTCTGGAAGCTTGATGTGGCTCAAAAAGCTAGTTCAAGCCAAGTGACTGTACAGAATCGTCTGTATGAATCTCCGGCAAAAACTAAAACGGACACCGGCTCACCCAAACTCAATTAGAACCTGGCATGTGTGGCATCCCGCGAGTGTGTGG